CAAGGGTTGTTGTGAGAATCACATGAGATAATAATTGTAAAGCACTTATCACGGTGCCTGGCATAATATAAGCTCTAAATAAATATTAGCTCTTATTGTTAATTATTATTATTTTCTGTAGGAAGGTTCAAGACTGAGTCACTGCCAGGGAAGGACTGGGCAGGCTCTTGTTTCCTGTGCCTGACCCACAGAGTGGTCTGGAGGAGGGGGTGGAATGAGTGGGAGCCTTAAATATTTAAATTTTTCCATGTTATTTCAGGTTTTTTTTTACTTTATTTGATGTTTCTCTCTTCTTATTTTGTTGGTTCAGCTCTCATTGCTATAGATTTGCCTCCCATTTCCTGCTTTTGATTATTATATATTTTTTAGGTTGGGGGCTTATTGGGGTAAACAACTACTTGGCCATTTTGCCAATAATGTGCAGCACCATCCCTCTGACAGAAGGGGAAGAAGAAGCCCATAAATTGAAAATTCCTTTCACCGTTTTGGGTCTCTCATGATTTTCTGAGGCTTCTAAAATAAGGCACTAATTTAGCTGAAAGTATCCATTTGGGGTCAAAATATTGATAACCTGCCTGAATGTGCTTTGTAAGAAGACATTAAGCCCTTGACTATCCTCAGGAAAATTGAGATAGAGTAGACTTATTTCACTGAAATGTGGTCTATCCTGCCCAGTGCTCTTTTCATTTTGAGTTATAGGTTGGAATGGTTTGTTATTTCCCACTGAGTTAGGCTCCATAATTCATACTGTCTCCTGAAAGGGAATCTTATGTGTTGAGGTTCAATATCGGAAATGAATTGTGGTGCCTCATTTTTCTGCATTAGCCCATTAAAGGTATGAGCCATGTGCATCTTGGGGCTGAGCTGAGGATACAGCTCCCTAAGTCTGAGTAGTAGGAGCAAGAAACAAAGGGAAGGGCCTCATCTGGACATCTCCTGTTAACTCCCCTCAACAAGTGAGTGATCCTGACAACACAGGGCTACAGAAAGACCCCGGAAAGAGTAGGAAGCAGAATCAGAGGTGATGTTTATCTGTTGGCCTTTTCTGAGCTTGTACTTGTGATTTTTATTGATGTTTAGGGAGCTCCAGGTGAGGAGACTCCCTCTACCAATACAGGTCAGCTGCTATTCTATAACTCATAGCCTAGGGTCAAGCAGAGGTAAGACCTGAATCAAATTCTTTTTGATTCCAAACCCAGTAATCTCGATTCAAATCTCACCTTCTGCAGGAGGTCTCTGGATTCCCCCAGCTTCTATGCCTTTCTGATGCTATATCACCTACTCCATATACCTCTTATATGTACCTAGTTATTACATGTTGTCTCCCCCTTGGAAAGTAAGCTCCCTGAGGGCAGGGGCTATTTTTGCTTTTCTTTAGGTCTCTAGCACAGCGTCTGGCATGCATAAGCACTTACTTGTTGACTGACTTACAACACCACGTTGCCTTTAGTGCATATATATAATACGTGGCTCAATTAAAAATATTGTGCCAAGTTAGAGCTTAAATCATTTGGTGTTGATTGCATCCAAGTTTTAAGGAAAGAAAGTATGGGAGAGAATTGCTCAAATGAAGACTCTAAAGGCTACAAATGAGGCCTCTTTTGTTCTGCGGGCATTGTGGCAGCAGATTGGCAGCTGAGCTTATCAGCCTGGCATCAGGTACAGGGTTTCAACACTAGAACAACATTGTTCCTGAATCAACTGTACTGCTCTGAGAAGGACTTTGGGAATTTTCAGACAGAAGTGTGGCAAGGAAAGCAAGGTTTTTAAGGAAGGAGATAGACAACTACAACCTCTTCTTTTCCAACTTCTCTGCTGAGCAGAAGAATACCGCATCAAAGGCCAAAGCCTAGCTAGCAGAGGACTGACTTTAATTAGCTTTGGAAAGATCCCAAGATGCTGGTTAGTACTGGGGAATTGAAATATTTGTTTCTCAGTTTGAGGGTGACTGAAAATCAGTTTCAAATACCTATGTGATGGAGAAAGAGAGGGATTTTACCTCTGATCTGGTTTTGCAGATAGCTTCAAAGACATTACATCCACAAATGTTTTTATGAGCCTGAAAAATTTACATTGACCGTCCTCCCCCCTCTTGGAACCTTCGGCCTTGAGGCCACATGTGGCCTTCTAGGTCCTCGAGTAGTGGCCCTTTGACGGGATCTAAACTTCACAGAGCAAATACCCTTCATAAAAGGATTTGTTCTGTAAAACTTGGACTCAGTCAAAAGGCTGCGCTTGAGGACCTAGAGTGCCACAGATTCCCCACCCCTGATAGACAATCCTTCCATTTTAGAGATGAAGACACTGAGACTCCCAGAGGTTAAGGGTTCTGTGCAAGGCTACATAGATAATAAATAACAGAGCCAGGATATGAAATCGGGGCTGTGACTCTAACAGCAACCTTACCCTGGTACCATACTTCCCATTTCTTCCCATCCTTTTCACATCAGGGCCCATGACAATTTACCCATCTCTGAGGTAACCTTGAGGCCAAAGTATTTAAAATAGCAAAGGAGCTGCAAGTCAGCTGAGTCCTTCAAAGGTCCCTGTGATCACCTCTCCCACATACCTTACTATTAACGGTAGGACAAAATTGGCTAGATCACTTCTGGAAACCTTGGGAGAGGAAAGAGAAAACATCCATCATTTTGAAACATTTGCCTATGTTCAGTTCTTTGCTTTAAAAAATGAATAACAATTTCAGTTAGATTGAACAAAGTTGGGAGGGTGGAGGGGAGAAAGGAACCATCAAATGTTCTGGGAGAGATTGCAGCAAGTGTGTTTTTATTTGGAAGCTGAGAGGGCTAGTGAAATCCAAAGTCTAGAAATACTCATTCCTTTTCTGTGTTAGAGACACATAGAGGTGATGGAATCATCCTTTCACACCAGGGGAGGGGCCTGCTTGGTGAAGGGCAGTGTGGAGTGGTGGGGGAGGGTAGAGGTCACTTAGCCGATGCCTTGACTCCTCTACTCCAGGTCCTTTTTGGAAATATACTTCCTTTTTGCATTTCTTTCCCTTCCTTAATCTCAATCTCCGGTGCCTCTAGGCTTAGTAATTGAATAACTCTGAGATGAGCAACCATATGGTAGCAGGGCACTGGACCAATCACTAACTCTTAGGGCTATAAGCAACATGTTCCCAGGCATTCTTTTCTCTTATTCAAATATAAGCTATTTATTATTTATAATCAGATTTGAATTTCCCCAATCCTTCAGAAATCAGCCATTCTTTCTCCTTGGTATTCATTACATTGCGGTGACACCTGCTGGCTGAGAGACTGTGGATGTCTGGGTCAAGGACCCTGCATGGAACAGTGCAGAGTAGCAGGCCAAATAGCATTTGCTAGAACAGACGGGAATGGGGAAAGGATATTAAATATTTTCATCGAGAGTCAACAGGAACTAGAGAAATTCTATCGGGGAAGAAATCCCTCACCATCCTTTCCCTCTTATTACTACATTGCATCTTTCCCCATAAGCCTAGTCTGCTTTAAAGCTGTAGGGGGCCTAGGATGGGTGGGGTGGGGTGATAGGGAGACCCACTGCCAGGAGCTGTTGGGGATGGAGGAACATGTGTCCCGGTCAGCAGTTTCTTAGGCTATGGAATGTCTATCCCCCAGAGCTATTTCCTGGTAGCCCTGTTGTGGCCCCATATGGAGCAAATCCCTAAATATTTATATGGGACCTATTATGTACCAAATACTTTTTACAAATACTATCTCATTTGACTCTCACGACAACCTTGGGAGGTAAGTGCTATCATTAGCCCCATTTCATGGTTGAGGACACTGAGACAAACAAAAATTAAGTGATTTGCCCAAGTCACACAGCTACTGGATATCTGAGCTGGATTTGAACTCAGGTCTTCCCAACTCCAGGCCCAGTAATCTATCCGTTGTGTTGCCAGCTGATTCTGCCTTTGAATAAACTATGGTGATGTGTATACCACACTTTAAAGTTTGTAGACTGGTTAGGCCAGGTACAGATTAGGCACCTATGCTCAGTTATAAAGTCATCAGACAATCTTTGAAACAATTGATGAGATATTTGGTCTTTCTTTTGTATGGGGTCTTATATTGGCAGTAGATTTCAACATTCTCTTACGTTTGTATTTATTCTGTTCTGCAGTTATTTTCTGTCTTCCACTATTCATCTTGCTATATATGTATATTGAGAGAGACAGACAGATGGATAGACAGACAATACAGAGACAGACAAACACAGAGAAACAGAAACAAATAGATATAGAGAGAAAAGGGGAGGGAGACTGAGAAAATGTGAGAGGGAGGAGAGACAGAGGTAAAGAAAGAATACAGAATTTCTAACTACATGTAAGGTACATGTCTACATAGCTATGTAGAGGAAGATAGCTATTAATTGGAAACAGCAGCGTGCATAAAGATACAGGGATATGTATCTTGTACACAATAATTTTTAAAATATTCTCTTTCAAAAGGCCATATGGAGTGTTGGACTAGCAGTTGGGAAGTTCTGGGTTCAAATCCTATCTCTGATACTTTATAGTTGTATAGTCATAAGCAAGCTGGTCATTTAACTTCTCTGGGTTTCCTCATCTGTAAAATGGATAACATTTATTATTATCCTGTAGTACCTACCTCACAGCGTTGTTGTGAGTCTTAAGTAAGATGGTATGTGCAAAGCACTTTCCAAATTTTAAAGAATTATAAAGACATTTTACTATGATGTAGCCAGTTTATCTATACGTATGCTGCTATACTAGCACAACTTAATAAAAATGTGTATATATGTATATACATATAAATACTTATATATATATGTCTATATCTGTGTCTGTAATGTGTATGTACATGTGCATATGTGTGTATGCACACACATATATCTGCCTGGATATCTAGAGAGAAGAGGGGAAGAGGTCCATTCTCCTGTTGGTTTAGGGGGATTGGTGCTCTGCTTGCACAGGTCTAATATGGACTAAGAGGAGGGTGTGTAACTCAGGATGGGGTCCCTGGGAAACTAACCAATCACCAACATTGTGATACATGATCTGGTTAGGCTGCTGCTGCTGCTGCCGCTGCTGCCGCCTTCCTTTGTCTTCTAGTAACACTATAAGAAAGAAGGGTAAGAAAGAGGAATGGGCTACTCATTATCAACCTTTTGCTTAAAAAGGTGGGGGACCCCCAGTTTTTTGGACAAACTTACTGTGTTGTTTAGACATGAGCATTCTGGGGTCCAAACACCCCATGGCTCATGTGGCTGCACAATCTATGTATCCTTTCTTTCTTGCTTGCTATTATTAAACACCTGGCATCTGCAGTGAATTTGCTAATGATGCTTCCCTTTCCAAAACTTGAAAGAACCTTGTCTTCTGGCCTGATGCTCAATCTAAGGAGGTAGGAGTGAGTGAAATGTTGGATCAGCCTTTAAGTCTGAAAATGCTTTTCAATGGAAGTAACACCATCATCATCAATGACAAACAATTATTGAACGCCTAGTAATTTGGGTTTATTTGTAAAGATGACAGAATGATTTTGAATGCTTTACAGATTGTAGGAAATTTTATATAAAGAAGAAAGAAAATGAGATGATGTCCCAAAAGGGCCTTCTAAATCCAAAAAAGATAAACTTTAGTTTAAAAAAATCTGTTAGAACTGATATATTAGGACCATAGGATTATATATATATATATATATACATATATATACACATACATACATACATAGACACACACACATATTATATAGTAGAAAGCATCTCATTTAGTAAAAGTCTCTCGTTTTCTCAGATGAGTGAATCAAGGCCCAGAGAGGTTAAGTGATTTGTCTAAGGATACACAGGCAGTAGCAGAATTGGGCTTTAAAGCCATGTCTTTTTATTCTCAACCCAGGCTACAACTATAACAAATATAGTATTCAGAGCATAATTTAACCATTTCAAGTGATTGTAGACCCTTATGGTTTCTATATTTTGCTTTTATGACATATTTCTAGGTCATAGCAATAATTCTTTCTTACTGCAAAGTCCTTGATCAAGAAAGCCACATCAAAATATACTATTGTTCTGGTGGAAACACGACCCATTTTATTACAGTTTCCAGGAATGCTGTGGCAAAAATAAAGAACTACTTGTATGACCAGCTATGAATTTTTTACTATTTATACCTAATTTACAATGGAGTATAATAATGACTTTATTTGATTATAACACTAAACTATTCTCTATGATCAGTCATAACAATCTGGTGCTTGACCCTGCAGGTACAGCTGTCACATTCTCCCAAGTCTTCCTCCTTGGGGCTAAACCTTCCCAGTTCCAAAAAGGAGATCCTTCTACAGAATGGTCATCTCACCATTCTTGTCCCTCTCTTCTGGGTGTATCCCAGCTTTTCACTCTGAACTAGACACAATATTCCAGGTGTTCACTGGAATACCAGCACAGAGTACATTGGGACTGTCACCCCCCATGTTCTTGACCCTGTGCGGCCCAAGATTGACTTAGCTGTTTCGTCCATAATGTCAGAATTGTTGACTTACACTTAGCCTATGGTATACTGAACCATCTTTCTCTATTCCCCACTCCCCACAGTCTTTTCATATCAACAGTTGTGGATACAGTGGTAAGTGCACCGTATATGGAGTCAGAGGATCTAGGTTTAAATCTCACCATATACTTACTAAATTTTTTACTGGGCCCGGACTGAACTCCTCTCTCACTGAGTTCTGACAGACCTTTCCCACTGACCTTCTAAGTTGTCTTTGATGTTTGTGGGTTGAGAAGTCTGGAGACCACCACAGCTCCTCTTGACTCAATCCCCTGAGGCCAGCTTCAGGTTTGCTGAGGCTCTGTCTTTCCCTGCCCAGCTCACACAGAACTGCGCTCCTCTCCCAGTCTGGCGCAACAGATCTTTCCAATCAACCATCCAGGTTGTCTTCGGCTAGAAATTTGTTTCACTCTGTCTTTTTGTGGGTTTTGCTGCTCTAGAATTTGTTTAGAGCCATTTTTACAGGTATTTGGAGGAGTTTGGGGAAGAGCTCAAGCAGGTCACTGCTTTTACTCCACCATCTTGGCTCTGCCCAACCAAATCTAAAATAAAATTTTGAGTTCTAAATTTTCTCCCTCCCTCTGTCTTCTCCCTCTTCCCTAAGACAATAAGCAATTTGATATAGGTTATATATATGCAATCATGTAAAACAAATTTCCATGATAGTCTTGAAAGAAGAAATAGAACAAAAGGAAAAAGCTACAAAAAATATAAAGAAAGTGAACACAGTATACTTTGATCTGCATTTAGACTCCATAACTCTTTCTCTGGACATGGCTAGCATTTTCTATCATAAGTCTTTTGGAATTGTCTTGGATCATTGTATTACTGAGAACTAAGCCAATCATAGTTGATCATCACACAATGTTGTTTTTTACCATGTAGAAAGTTCTCCTGGTTCTGCTCACTTCATTCAGCATCAGTTCATGTAAGTCTTTTCAGATTTTTCTGAAATCTGCCTACTTGTCATTTCTTTTAGCACAGTAGTATTCCATTACATTTATATACCACAACTTGTTCAACCATCCCCATATTGATGGGCAGTCCCTCAGTTTCCAATTCTTTGTCAACATAAAAAAGAACACTATAAATATTTTTGTACATATGGGTCCCTTTCCCTTTTTTATGATCTCTTTGGGATACAGACCTAGTAGTGGTGTTGCTATATCAAAGAGTATGTATAGTTTCATAGCCCTTTGGGTATAGTTCCAAATTGCTCTCAAGAATGGTTGGATCAGTTCACAACTCCACCAATAATGTATTAGTGTCCCAATTTTCCCACATCTTCTCTAATATTTATGATTTTCCTTTTCTGTCATATTAGCCAACCTGATATGTGTGAGATGGTACCTCAGAGTTGCTTTAAAATTTGCATTTCTCTAATCGAAAGTGATTTAGCATTTTTTCATGTGACTATAGATAGCATGGACTTCTTCATCTGAAAACTTTCTATTCATATCCTTTGACCATTTATCAGCTGGAAAATGACTTGTGTTCTCATAAATTTGATCAAAATCTTTTTGGATCCTATTTTTGTTTTTTTCATACATTAACTGTCCATCCCAGATTTCTGTCATCTGCAAATCTGGTAAGCAAGTCATTTATGCTTTTATCCAAGTCACTGATAAAAATGTAGACTAGAATAGGACCAAGGACAGATCCCTATATATATAAAACATTGACATTGATACCTAATTACTACTTTTGGAGTCTGATCATTCAACCATTTCTGATTCCACTTAAGGGTCCCATATAGCCTATATCTCTCCGTCTTGTCCACAAGAGTATCCTATGGGAGCTTGTCATATATTAGCCTTGCTGTAATCCAGATGTGACATGTGTACAACATTTCCCTGATCTACCTGGTTAGTGTCCCCATCAGAAAAGAAAATAAGGTCATCCTACTATGATTTGTGTTTGAATTCAGTCTGGCTCCTTTCTAAAAAAATCTCTTAAATTTTTTAAAAATTCAATTTTGTCTTATTTTTAGTTTCAAATCACTCCCTCTCTCTTCCATCCATTGAGAAGGCAAGAAATGTAATACTCATTACAAATATAGAGTCATATTAAGCACATTTATTTGTTAGCCATGTTCTGAAAAAAAAAACAAGAAAAAGAAAGAGGAAAAAATAAGCTTCAATCTATATTCTGAGTCCATCAGTTCTCTATGTGGAAGTAGATAGCATTTTTTCACCATGAGTCTTTTGGGATTGTGTTGAGTCATTGTGTCTTTCAGAATTTCTAAGTCTTTCACAGTTGATTATCTTTATGATATTACTGGTGCTTTGTAAATTGTTCTCCTGCTACTTCTCATCTAACTTTGCATCAATTCATTCAGGTCTTCCCAGTGTTTTCTGAAACCATTCCCTTTATTATTTCTTACAACACAATAGTATTCCATCACATTCATATACTATAACTTGTTCAGCCATTCCCCAATTGATGGGCATCCCCTCAGTTTCCAATTCTTTGCCACCACAAAAAGAGCTGCTATAAATATATTTTTGGTACACATGGGTCATTCTCATTTTCCTTTGATCTTTTTGGGGTACAGATCTAGTAATGGCATTGCTAGAACAAAGAGTATACACAATTTTGTTGCTTTTTGGGCATAGTTCCAAACTGGTTTCCAAAATGGTTGGACCAGTTCACTTTGCCAACAGTGTATTATTGTCCCTATTTTCCCCCATCCCCTTTATCATTTGTCATTTTCCTTTTCTGTCATCTTAGTCAATCTTCAATCTGACAGGTGTGAAGCAGTACCTCAGAATTGTTTTAGTTTGAATTTCTGTAATTAATGAATTAGAACTTTTTTTGTAAGACTATTGATAGTTTTGATTTCTTCCTCTGAAAAGTGCCAGGTTAGCTCTTTGTCATCATCACTTTCATTTCTAAAGGCTCATAAACCATTCCTTTCAGAATGTACTCTAGGATGTTGACAGGAATTGTTTAAGTCAAATTGACAGGGTCAAGTTCACTGGTGTATGATATGAAGAATCCATTTTCTTCCCTTCTTTGAAAATTGGGGTCATATTTGTCCATACTCAGTCCTGTAGACCCTCTATTTTTCTTTGTGATTTTTCAAAGATCACTAACAAAAGTTTGGCATCCACAAATTCTTTCAGTACTCTGCCCAGATCTAGTATTGGAACTCATTGAAGGCAACTAGGTACTCTCTTACTTATTTCCTCATTTGTTGTATATTTTGACTTCCTGATAAGCACTTTGGTTCTATCCTTTCCAGCCTGAAGAGCTGGAGAAAACAGAAAACAAAATGAGCATAGTCAGATCATAGATTTGGAGCTGGAATAAACCTTCTAACCCCCTTCCTTTTACAAACCAGGGAATCAAGGTCCAGAGAAGTTAAATGATACAGGCAGTAAGTGACAGAGATGACACTTGAACCCAGCTTTCCTAATAACAAATCCAGCCCAAGTAGTTCTGCCTTTTCCCTTCCTACTATCTGCTACCATCTCACCCAACCTTTGAGTTTCTGCTTGCTCCCAAAAAAGTGGAAAAGCACACCCTTCTTGCTGTTCCTGGCACTCACTGCCAGCCCTTCTTGGTCCAACTTTTAGTCTTTCCAGCACCATACTTAGAATACTGTGTTCCATCTTGTATTGATCCTCAGTTACATGTATTACCTATTCTGTCTTCTGTTCATGTCTCTTAAAAATAGGAGTCAGTTTTCTGTGTCCATGGTT